CTAAATACCAGTTATGGCCACGTGAACAACTGCAGAAACGGGGACTGTAATTGTTATGAGTATTTGTACTTTGTGTGTGTGCATCAAATATTTTTGTTTCCTTCACTTATAAAATATAAGTTGTAAATGGGACTAGTGCATTTTCGATTGTACACGTTAGTTGTATCATGTTAGGTGCAGGTATGACTTTGTCTTTATTCAGAGCTTATGTATCGTTTAAGGAGATGTGTACATGTGCCAAGTTGACAAGGGGTTGACTGTGATGGTTAAGATTGTGTGTCAACTTGGCTGGGCCATGATTCTCTGTGTTTTAATGTAATCATTCCCATGATTGAATATACTGTGAGTAGCCAATGAGATGAAAGGGAGTCTCCTTGGGGGTGTGGCCCGCATCTGTATATAAGCAGACGTTCTGGCTTTTTGCTCTCTCTGGATCCTGCGGCTGCTTCCTGTCATCTCATCTCCCGTTCTTGGGACTTGAGCTGTCAGCTTATCTGCCGCACCTGGGATTTGTCGATCTGCACAGCCTGTGATCTTGGGCTTGCCAGCTTCTGCAGCTGTGTGACTTGGGAGAGGCCTCTACCCTGATCCACGGATTTGGGACGTTCTAGCCTCTACAATTGCGTGAGCTGTTTCCTTGATATAATCTCTCTCTATATATATATTTACACACTTTACTGGTTTTTCTTCTCTAGAGAACCCAGCCTAAGACAATGGTTAATCACTCAGCTGCTAACTGAAAAGTTGGTGGTTCAAATCTACCCAGTGGCTCTGCAGAAGAAAGACCTGTTGATCTGCTTCTGTAAAGATTACAGCGAAGAAAAGCCCAAGAGGCAGTTCTTCTCTGTCACATGGGGTCGTGATGAGTCAGAATGGACTTGATGGCACACAACAATAACAAGTACTTCCAACCATTGCTGCCCAGCGAAGTCACTTCAGTTCAAGGGGGGTGAAACAAAGGCAGCTCTGTGCCGGTTCCTTACTGAACTGCTACTTTATTTTTCCTTATCCTTCAATGGGAATTTGGCAGGGCAAGGAATTCTAGGTTCAAAACCTTTTTCCATTAGAACTTTGTGGGCATTCTTTGTCTTTTAGCATATGTTTCTGTATATGAAAAGTTATATGTCAGTTTTATTTTTATTCTCTTAGGTAATCTCTTGATTGCTGAAGTAGGATTGTTGTGCCCTAGAGAAATAGTACTTGTATTTATTTCAAGAACATGTTGCTTTTTTAAAAATATCCAGATATTACAAAAATAAATGTGTGTTGTGTTCTGTGTGTGCGTATGTGTGTGTATATGTGTGTAACACAATTTTGTGTTTCTCTCTGTGTGCCCTTATAGCCCCTGAGTTAGTTTCTCTTCTTTATGTGGTGAGCTCTTCTCATAAACTTTTGCTTTCTGCTGGATGCTTTGTGTAAAAAAGTGGAGAGTAATATATAAGCTTGACTGACAGACCTTTGATTAATTTCCCTGATAGTCAGTCACGGTACTGCCCTTGTCAAATCCCAGCCCTTCGACTCTGAGCATATACGTCTTCCTGGGATCTCTTTTAGGATATATGTCCAAAAGCTGGTTCTCTTATCTAATTTTATGAATTCTAGAGCTTCTGAAATTTTCTTGAAATTTCTTGTTTATTGATCATAGTTTTTACTCTTTTGTTCTTATAGAGTTACTCTAATATTTTGCATTTGGGTTTTGAACTAGAGATTTCCCCTATTAGTGAATCTTGCCTAAACACTCCCCTCCTGGGTTACTCTTACATTTACAGAGTGCTCTCAAGCTCCATGGTTTGGGCCTTTTCTCCTGATATCATCTCCAATGTTACTGCTCCCACAGATTATTTTCTTGGACTCTTCTAGAACTCTTTTTCATATATATGTAAATATTACTTTTGGAAATTTATTTATATGTATATCTGCCAAAAGGGACAGTTCCAACTATATGTTCCACAGTCACCTCAAGCACAGCATGAACAAAATTCAGCCCATTGCTTTCTTGTGCCCAACTTATATTTTTCATTATTTTCCCATTTTCCTTTATGAATTGTCATAAATAGTTCCTGGTTGCCATAGAATGTTAGTTGGTAAAATTTTAATGTCTCCATACACCATAACGTTCTTCTAATGTATAGCTAGAAGACAGAAAACTTACATGTCTGTTGGAAAATCAATTCTCAAAGTGCAGAGGTAGCTCTAAACTTCCTCCAGAACAGGAAGTCAGGAGGGAATTGCATGAAAAATCAATTCTCAAAGTGCAGAGGTAGCTCTAAACTTCCTCCAGAACAGGAAGTCAGGAGGGAATTGCATGAAAGAGAAGAGATGGCAGTGTTATAGCCATAAAGCAACATAAGATCAGGTAGGTATACTGTCAGAAACATAAGGTCTCACCCTGATTAGGGAAAGAAGAAGATGTCTGAGACCTGTGAGATTAAAGCACTGGTACTGGGAATAGAAAGAAAGGGATTTGTAATATATACAGGAACAGAAGTGGCAGCTTTGGGCAAGCACCGCGTTAGAGGAAGGAAGGAATTCCTTGCATGCTTGGTAGTGAAGGCAAATAAGAAAACAAGCAGCTGAAATAAGCAAATATATAGAAACCAAAGATTATTAGTGGTTACCAGGAGTGGGAGGGAGAGGGTGAGGGGAGGTTTGCTTGGGGGGCATTGAGTTTATATTAATAATCGTGGAATGATTTGGAAAAGAATAGTGAGAATGGTTGATTACAACTTGAAGACTCTAATCAAAGTCTCTGAATTGTGCATGTAGAAATTTTTGAGATGGCGTATGTTTTAAAAATAGCTTTGAAAAAAAGCAACTGAAATAAGGTATACTACAAAAATAGTATCACAGGTTTTAAAGACACATGCCCAAATGGTGCTATTTCTTCAAGAAAATATAACTTACTGTGCTAAAACAAGAGAGAACTTTTAAACTAAGAACTATAGTAAACCCTTCGCTCCTAACTTCATTGCTTACATCTGTGTCTGCTTGGCTCTCCACTATCTGTAGTTGCTTCTACAAAGTGAAAGAGTGAGCATATAAAGATGTATATGATAGTCCACATAGTGTGAAAGGAAATAGCAGACTACCTATTTTTATTTTATGTAAACATCAAAAAAGAAAACCTTGTTAATGCTTAATAACTGATTTATAGAGGTAAATGTATGTAATGTATTAATAGGCAAAGATCTATTAAGTGTGTATCACCACCCATCTGAAAGTTTGTCATATTGTGGTGGCTTGCATGTTGCTGTGATGCCGGAAGCTATGCCACTGGTATTTCAAATACCAGTAAGGTCACCCATGATGGACAGGTTTCACTGGAGCTTCCTGATAGACTAGGAAGAAAGTCCTGGCAATCTACTTCTGAAAATCAGTCAATGAAAACCCTATAGCTCACAATAGAACATCATCCAGTATACTGCTGGAAGATGATCTCCCTATTTTGGAAGGGGCACAATAGCACAACAATGTACTCAAACATACCAACAATGATGAAGATGGCGCAGGACCACGCAATATTTTTTTCTATTATACATGTGGTCATTATAAGTTGGAGCTGACTCAATGGCAGTAGCAGTAATAACAATTAGGTGTGTGTGCAACATATATTTTACTGGTCCAGATTCAGAATTTCTCCATGTTCTTTCGCCTGACTTGACTCTAGAAGCTTCTAACATAGGTTTACATCTAGTCTCGTATCATACTGTATTATTTACAGTTTCCTAAACTTGCCATTTTTCATGCATCCATGCCTTTGGCAATTCTGTTTTCCTTTATTCCTAGAGTTTACATTAGTCAGATAAACCACCTAATAAAATCTACCTGGATAATACAAAATGCAAATGACTTTACTCCCATTTGTGACCATGGTACACCTCGTACATATTTCTGTCGTGGCATCTGCTATGCCAGATTAAATTTAAGCATTTATATATTTGCCTCCCTATCAGAATGGAAGCTCCTCGATAACAGGAATATTTGCATTTATTCATGTTTGTATCTCCAGCACAGTTCCAGGCATAGAGTGGGAGCTCAATAAATATATATTGAACAAATATTATTTTTCCTATCTATAAAGCAGCATACAGAATAGCATCCTATCTTTTCAGAGTAAATTCTACAGTTAGCACATTAAGAATTAGTTCACATGTGTGTTTTTAGTGGCATTTTATTCTGATTACTTCTGCTTGAGTTGAAACGTGCTGTTACAGGGATCCATGACATTCAAGGATGTTCTTGTGGAATTCACTCAAGAGGAGTGGCGACTACTGAACCCTGCTCAGAGGACCCTGTACAGGGATGTGATGCTGGAAAACTATAGTCATCTAGTCTCAGTGGGTGAGAAAAACTTCCCCATATATAACTCCCAGTAGTTTATATTTTCTTTCCCAGTTGCTGGAACATGTGAGGCCCTTATCGGATTGAAATATAGTAGCTTTTATTTCATAGATCAAAGTTGATGAATCCATTTTGGATTCATATTTAGAAAGAAAATTATTAATTCATATTCAGAAAAAAAAATTGTGTCCCTGCTACCCCACTGAAAAAATCTAAATTTGCTAAGCCTATGTGGGACCTTCATTGTTTTGCTCCTGAAACTATACTTCCTTTTCCTTCAGAGTCTCTAAATTCCAAGCAATTTGTACCATTTTATCTTTTCTATTAATAGGTTATGTGACTAAGCCAAGTAAGGTCTTCAAGTTGAAGCAAGGAAAAGAGCCATGGATATTAGAGGTAGAATCACCACGTCAAGGCTACCCTGGTGAGTTAAAAGAAGTTATATCCCATGTTATTAGTGAGGTGGTTGGGGCCCTTTGAAAAATTTTTCAGGAATCTTTTTAAATGCCCTATGTTTCTGGAAATAACTGAGGACACTTGATCTGTATATGAAAGAAACCTAAATCATATCTCCATTTTCATTTTTTCTGCCTAAATTCCTTCCTTTGCTTGACATTTTAAATATATATTTACTTCTCTTTCCTATATACAAAATCCAATCCCTGCCTAACCTTGTCTTAGGTTTTTATTTTGACTTTTTCTCTAGTATTCCCAGTTACTTACACCCTGCCATTGGAGTATACAACTGTAATCTTAAAGTGATCATAAATCCGGCCTTTAAATATTTTTCCAAATGCCATTTCCCTGTTACATTAACAATGAAATTCCTCAGACTTATTTTCAGCACTATTTTTAACTTCCTGTTCTGTCTTTAATTTCTGAAATGAGATTATAAATCATGCCTCTCATAAATTGTACTATTTCAGAGTTGATACTTCCTTTCAGATGATGTTTGCCCTTCACACGAAGTGCTGGTTATCCTTTCAAAAATCTACTGCACCTCATTTGGAGTGTTGTAACACCAAGATAGTCTCATCCTGCTTCCTGAAATGATTTTCATATATTTTCTGACTTGTGCCCTGAAGTGTTCCTAGGACCAGGAACAATTCCTGGTACATATTAGTTGCTTACTAAATATTCGTTGGAAGAATATTTTTATTCACAAGAGACAGATGCCCTACTTTCTGCTGTATACTCTTTAGAGTAACTCCTGCAAGAGCACATTCATTCTTATGACTGAAAGCATTAGTTTTTATGCTGAGAACTCCTAAGACTGACATCTCCAACATCTTTGTCATACTTGTATTATAGTCTCATATTTTACCATCTTACAAGATAGCTTCATTGATTCCCACTCCCTTCTTAAAGTCAGAAACTAATTCTTCATTTAAATTCTCATAGTAGTTGTCTATTGCAGCAAACTTATATTACCACTAACCCGTCATGGTAAAAAATTTAAATCAGTTTTCTGTCAAGAACCAGTCTGGCCCTCTCTTGTCTACTGCAACTTATTTATCCTTGCGGCCCCAAAACACGTGCAATTTCCATTTCATCCACTCTCGTAAATGTCTTCCATGCATGGGATTTTCTTTTGTGTGTATCCGAGTTAACTTTACACAAGTCCTTATTTAATAACTTTTTTTATGTGTTCCCCACAAATGCCTTAAAATTTCAACCCAGGCCTTTGCTCTTAATCTTTCCCTTCCTTTCAAGCACTTAAAGATGAATAAATATGAGGGTCAGTAAAGATTCTAGAAGTATGTTGAATAATCTAATCTTTAAAGATCACATGGTAACTTGGAAGCAGAGATGTGGGAGCCAAGACATAAAAGAATTAGAGACTAGTGCTGAGTCAGGGTTAGCAGTGCTTTGGAGATACAGTATTTAATCATCAGGATAAATTCAGGATTGAAAATATCTGGTAGTACAACTGTGAATTCAGTCCACTGCTTTAAAAAAAATGTGTTCCTGGGTCATCCTGTCCCAGTGAAAATTAAGCCAACTAGATGGGGAGTAAAAGCCTAAGCTATAGGACTATTTCCCTAAACATAAGGAAATTAATATTCTGAGAAAGTCACCTTTGTGTTGACATCTATATTGTGGAAATTTATAGTCTGCGAATTATTAAGAATCCTAACATAGAAATCTATGTTTGTGGGGATAAGGACCTATACTTTAGCTTATTTAACCAGTTTAATCTTTTCCTTGATACTTCTCCTAAACACATTTGTCTACTGTTTTTTCTTATCACCCTACTATTCATTGCCCTTAATGGTCTCACAGCATTCTCTCGTTCTTGTTCAGCAGCACTTTGAATATCTTTTGTTCTGTGCTCTTCATTCTTTGTTTTTATCATAACTTTCTCCTCCAAGTTTTGAAAATCATATTTGTAGAATTTCAAAGGTACTTGGGTTAATGTTCCTTTCCCTGTCTTCTACAGCATTGTTGTGCTTTTTCTAAACCAGTGGGATAGAGGAAATTTTCACTTGAGAGTTCCTTCATTTTGGGAGAGTGGCCTGAAGCCTAAGAATCAACCCTAAGACCATAATAACATGTTAAGATTTATACAAAATTAAATTTTGGATTCCTTTATAGAAGGCCTATGGGATATTGATGACCTAGGAACAAGGTACCAAGAAAGACAAGCTGAAAATTCAAGGCAAGTTCAAGAATTACTTTTTATGATTAGAAGCTTTGCATGAAAGAGTCTTGATGAAGGTACTGGGATTGGGAGAGCACTAGTTAATAATAAATATGAAAAAACTCACACTGGAGTGAATCTCAAAGAATGTAATCCAAGTGGGAAAGCCTTTTTTCATAATAGATACCTTATTGAGATCAGGAGATTCAAACTTTGAAGCAAACTTTTAACTCTTCTGAATTCTGCAACAAAGGAGGCTTTAGTAGGCAAAGCAAATTTCAGACAATTGAGATATCAGTGAAAATATGCAATTTAGGGTTCATTCTACCAAATGTTAAACCACAATGTATGTTAAAGAGCTTACACAGTGGAGAAACCCTATGAATCTAATGAATATGGGAAGAATCTCTAGAAATTTGTCCCCAGGGTTATTTGGAGAATACACACAACAGGCAAAAAAAAAAAAAAAAAGCCTTATAAATATAATGAACTTGGGAAATTTTTCTCTAGGAATGGAGAACTCACAAAACATCGGAAAACTTGTACCAGAGAGAAAACCTGGGATTGTAATGAATGTGGAAAGTCCTGCCAGAAATCTGCCCTCATACTACATCAGCGTACTCATTCAGAGGACAAACAACATGAACATAGTGAACGTGGGAAATCTTCCTCTAGGAATGGAAACGTCGCAATACATCAGAAAACTCACACCAGAGAGAAAACCTATGAATGCAAAGAATGTGAGAAAACCTTCTATCACCTGTCATCTCTCAGTAGACATATGAGAACTCATGTAGGGGAGAAACCCTATGAATGTAATCAGTGTGAGAAAACCTTCTACCAGAAGCCACACCTTGTAGAACATCAGAAAACACACACAGGGGAGAAACCCTATGAATGTAAGGAATGTGGAAAGTTCTTCTATGTGAAGGCATACCTCATGGTACATGAGAAAACACACACAGGGGAGAAGCCCTATGAATGTAAAGAATGCAGGAAAACCTTTTCCCAGAAGTCACACCTCACAGTGCATCAGAGAACACACACAGGGGAGAAACCCTATAAATGCAAGGAATGTGGGAAATCCTTCTCTAGGAATACACATCTCAAAACCCATCAGAGAACTCACACAGGAGAGAAACCATATGAATGTAGTGAGTGTAAAAAATCCTTCTACCAGAAGTCAGCCCTCACAGTACATCAGCGAACCCACACAGGAGAGAGACCCTTTGAATGTAATAAATGTGGAAAAAACTTTTATTATAAATCAGATCTCACTAAACATCAGAGAAAACACACAGGGGAGAAGCCTTATGAATGTCATGAATGTGGTAAATCTTTCTCTGTGAATTCAGTCCTCAGATTACATCAGAGGACTCACACAGGAGAGAAACCCTATGAATGTAAGGAATGTATGAAATGCTTCTCTCAGAAGTCACACTTTATTGTACACCAGAGAAAACACACAGGAGAGAAACCCTATGAATGTGAGGAGTGTGGGAAAACCTTTATCCAGAGGTCAAAACTCACAGTACATCAAAAGACACACACAGGGGAAAAATAGTATGAATTAGAAAATTCATCCTGCCTGAATTTGTTCTTCTGAATAATCAGAAAATTCCACACAAGAGGTTAATCTTATGAATATTATCAACGTGGGAATATTTTCAGCCACAGTCTTTCAGGAGACACACAGAGAAAAATTCTGTGAATTTATAAAAGAGAAAGTTTACCATACTTTACTAAATATCCGAAAACATGGATGGCAGAAACCCTACAAATGTAAAACACGAGGAAGACCCTTGTTTCAGAAGTCAAGCCTTATTATACAACATAGATACCACACAGGAGGGAAATCCTATAAATAAAATTAGTCATAAAATTTTCTGCCGGGTCAGCCATTACTAAACATCTGAGAACTCACATGGATGAGAAATTCCTGTCAGTATCGTGAGTATTCAGAAATCTTTATGCACAAGTCAGATTCATATATTAGAGAACTCAAGGGAGATAAATGCAAAAATTGTGACAAATACAGAAGCCTTTATCAAGAAGCGATATTTCATTGAATGTCAGATTATTGATACTGGGATAAAACCTTTATAGATATTTTAAATATGTGAAAGCTTTTTAACAAAAATTCAAAGATAATATGTACTGAGGGAAACAGTTATACTAGAAGTTATGTTCCAGATCTGATTCCCAGTTTTTTTTGTTTTAAAGAAACTTGCAAATGTCTAGACATATGAAGCTTTTTTTAAGCACAAATAAATTGAATAATCAGGCAACAGCATTTAGCACAGGTAAAGAGTCCTTTAGTATGTAGGACTTACGTGTGTGTGTTACATTGTATGTTTGATATGCATGTGAACCCATCCATGACTGTGCATAGGAAATATGTAACCTTAGTTCAGTGTTATTATTATTATTATTACTATTATTATTAGTAACTATTAGGTGTATGAAGATGCTTCATTTTAAATCTCAGCAGTGACTCCTGTTGTTGATACAAAACATGCACTTTAAGTGATATATTCTTTTAAAATTATAATGCATCCTTCTCTCTTATTTCCTGCCAAATAAATGGATTTGGATATTGTTACTAAATCCTTCAAAAAGAAGCTATAAAAATGTTTCTGTAAAACTTCCAACTGCCTCATCAGCAACCAAATTTTGCATGAGGGACTGATTTATTTATAACAAAAGTCTGAGTTGATACCTTTATATGCTGCTGAAAACAGCAATATTTATTGCACTCTACAGAGTAAAAGTAGTGCTGTGTAAAATGTAATGCTGATGATTTAGCAGGGTGCAAAGCTGTCTGCCTTTGTATTTAGTATGAGAGTCCTAAATGTTCTTCACTGCCTTTTTCTAACTAGTATAAGCAACATGGTATAGTGGGTAAGAGTGTGGACTTTGGACACCTGCCTAGGCTTAGATTCCTGAATGGGGCATACTACTTAACCTCTCTGTGCCTCAGTTTCCTTTTCTATAAAAGAGTAATGATAGTAACAACATCTCTGGATGTTTTGAGGCCTAAATGAGTTAATATTGTTAAAGCACTTAGAATAGTGTGTGGGATACAGGAAGAGCTGTATGTTAGATATTATCATTATAATTCATCTTTCTTGTGTTACATTGCACTTTTTTTTCTGTTACACCCCCACTTTATTGCTAGTAGTGCCTTGATTTTTTGTGATTGTCCATTTCTCCCATAAATGATTTGGGAGCAAATCCTAATTAGTTTAAGTCAAGGGTTGGCAAACTACAGCCCATGGGCCAGATATGGCTAATTGCCCATATTTGTAGTCTGCAAGCTAAGAATGGTTTTACATTTTTAAATGGTTGAAAAAAATATTTTGTGATGTGAAAATTATTTGAAATTTAGTATCCATAAATAAGGTTTTATTAGAACAATAATGCAAAACAACATTTATTTATGACTTGTGTAGAGCTGCCTTCACTGTACAGTGGCATAATTGAGCAGTTGTGACATAGACCATCATATGGCCTACCATGCCTAAGGTATTTATGATCTAGCCCTTTACAAAATAAATTTGTCAACCCGTGGTCTAAGCTAATCATGGCAAGCCTATTATCAATGATTGGTTTATGGTGGGCATATGACATCAGTCTGGCCAATAAAGTATTTAAGACGTATTCTGAGGTACTTAGGGGGAAAGTTACCTTACTGATAGCAAGAGAGACATATGTTACCGCCATGTCTGGACATGGTGCCTCATTGCATCTTATTACTCCCTAAGGCTAGAAGGACAGAAAAGTGCCAAGAACTTAGATGAATGATGATGACACTAAAGTGTTGAATTTCCCAACCCTTGAGCTACATATAGTATTTAGGGAATTTTTGTGATGTTAGATCATAGATTTTCTGAAAATTTTTACAGCAAATTAGGCTGAAGTTTTCTGTTATATAGAGCTGAAAAACATTGCAACTAATGTAGAAGTATACTTTTATAAATGTTACGTGTTTCAGAAATGATGCATGCAGCAATTTGTGGGTGGGTAATTTTTTTTTTGAAGTATATGTATATGTTAAAAACCTACGTATTAGAAATAAATAAAATTATTTTTTTCAAAGATATGTGTTTTTTACTTGCTGAATTTTCATAACATCAAAATAAGAAATTTCCTGATGGCACAGCAGTAAATGTATTAAGTAAACATTGTCTGAATTGATAATTATTCCCTCCCCACAGTATTACTTTAGTTTAGTCCAAATCAATATCCATTTTTCTCTATTTTAATTTTCTCACTGTCTCATGATAAAATGTCATCTTTATGTCATACTTAGCTAACATAACTACTTAGAATATCCAAATCCACCATCCACATATACTAATAACCTATAAAATTATTTTATTGCCTGCATTTCATGTAATTGTCACGTTGTTCCAGTCTAAATCCTGCCACCTTACGTCCTCTTCCTGATAAAGATTGCTTTCTTGTGTTCAGCCTCTCAAGCATACCTGACTTGTCTGATGTTTAATACTGATTAACACCTTGTGTGCTGTTGAGTTGATTACAACTCAATGACCCCATGTGACACAGAAGAACTGCCCCATAGAATTTTCTTAGGTGTAATCTTTACGGAAACAGATTGTCAGGTCTTCCTCCCACAGAGCTGCTGGGTGAGTTCGAACCAGTACTCCGTCAGTTAGCAGCCAAGTACTTAACTGTTGTGCCACCAGGGCTCCCAATCAACACCTAATAAGATATTTAGTGATGGCTCATATCTTAAGAATAATGTATCTTTATGGTTATATGCTATAACTCCTGAATAATCTGTGGTAAAATATTGTTACCAACATCTTATTGGTCAGATCTGACATGAGCATGCCATCTTCCTAGAAGTTTTAAGTTATCATCTATATATAGATATTCCTTTATAGTTCTTTATTTCAACTTGCTGTGAAAGCAAAGACATTTCTCTAACTTCCTCAGGTTTCAAAAATTAAAGCCCCAAGATGGTAATGTGGGTAGTTCTGCATCTCCATTCTTTCACGACTTCGAGAATAAAAGAGAAGCAGAAAAGCACAAAGAGTGCAGTGGAACCAACAGAGCTGAAGCCCTAGTGACCTTTCCAATAATTAGGGTACTTGGATGAAGGCAGAAGAAGGAGCTAGATTGCAAGGTAGGAAAATCTTTGTCTTCATGGCTTATGAGAATTCCCCCTGCCCCACCCCCACCTAAGCCAGGGGCGGCAGACACAGCTAGTGATGGGCGGAGATGCACTGAGAAGCTGCTCTGAGAAGCACAGTGAGGAGCTGTCTCCCTTGGGCTAGAAGAACAACAGGGGAACTTAAATTTCATGGAGACCTCAAAGTCTTAATATCCTTCTAGAAGCATCCAGGAAGACAGATCAACAGGGAGAAAATACCACCCCCCCCCCAACCCTACAAGGCAGAGAAAATCTTTCCAACACTTAGGGAGAACCTACCCATCTGAGGCAGGAACCATAAACATGGTGGGAGGCAGCTTAGCTGCTTGGAGAAGCACAAATGAGACAGACTCTTTAAAGACAGGAAAAAAGTGAAGGATCTTGAATTTAAATAACAGTCTAATATTTCAAAGACCAAATATTTCTCTGGAGACAGCCAGTGAAACGGAATTATAGGGAGAAGATAGCCACCAATCTTACAAAGCAGTAAAATCTTTCCAGTGCTTTCACTCCTGCCCTGCCCCCATCCAAGTCAGAGAGGCAATCGCAGCCTGCAAAATACAAAGGATGCTCCCACAGAAGTTGGAAGGGGGGCAAAAGTCCCCAGAACTGCTGAGTTAATGCTTAAAACTGTAACAGCAAGCGTGCCCTGTAGTGGACTTTGGGAGAGGAGGGAGGAAATAAGGGTAAAGGAAAAATATAATCACAAGACCAGGGGAGAGAAAATTCTGAGTCCCAGAAAGAACAGAATAAATGTAATAAAAAATGTAAATGCCTAAGGTCCAACAAGAAATTATAAGGCATACAAAACATAACAGAAAATGGCCTAGTTAAAAGCATGAAGAAGCAGAAATTAGTCCAATGGAGACCAGGTTAATGGGAAAATAGAGGACCTCCAGACAACATGTTAATTATGTTCAAAGAAAGCAAAGAACACACAGAAAGCAAAGAAATGGAGATCAGATACAAAATAAACTCAATAAGGAGATAGAAAACGTTTTAAAAAATGGAAAAATACTGGAATTCAGGAATAAAATAAGTGAACTGGAAAATGCAAGGTAAGGGTTGAACAGATCTGAGCAGACAGAAGACATAATAAGCAAGCTAGAAGACAGGGTAACTGAACTTATCAAGTCTCAAGAGAAATGAGAAAAGAACAAAAAAGTGAACAAAGCCAAATGGAATTGTGGGACTCAAGAAATCCAACATTAGGATTTTTGGAATTCCAGAACAAGAGGAAAGTAAGAAAAGGATAGAATTTTCCAAGATGAAATGACAGAATTTCCCAAACCTGAATAACGAGTCAAGCCTGGAGGTCAAGTCAAATTCAGGAAGCTAGGTGAGCTCCAAGCAGAAGGAATAAAAAGAGGTCTTCATCAAGACATATTTTAATAAAATTCTTGAACACCAAAGACAAGGAGAGAATTCTGAAAGCAGCAAGAGAAAAGCACAGTGTAACATACAAAGCGTCCTCAATTAGAATTAGTGCAGATTTCTCAGAAACTCTAGAGGACGGGAGGCAATGGAGTGACATATATAAACTATTGAAGAAAAAATTGTCTACCCAAAATTCTTCACCAGCAAAGTTGTCATTCAAAAATGAGAGTGAAATCAAGATATTCCCAAATAAACAAAAGTGGAAATTTGTAAATACCAGGCCTACTATGCAAGAATTACTTAAGAGAGTTTTTCAGATGGAAGGAAAGAACCCTAGACAAATACTGGATTCTGCACATGGGAAAGAAAAAAACAACTCCAATAAAGGTAATGGCACAGGGAAATATAAGGGCCAGTTGTATGGTATTTCTAGGGGGTGGGGGATTGGTGGTGATAAAATTAATAGTTAAGTTTCACAAGCAATACAACATCAAATGGGTTCAAATAAAGTTCAAATTTAAACAATTGGACATAGGATGTATAATGATATAATTGATGTCACAACAACAGAAGTGGGGAAGGGTAGAGCAAAATAAGAATGGAATTTTGCTATGCTAATGTATGTTGCTTCTTGTTTGTAGGTTAAGTGTTGGCATCAAGCTAAAGTAAGCAAGTGTGTAAGTCATTAAATGTAGTAATTGTGGTAACCACTAAGAAATATTTTAAAAATCTACACAGAGAGGAGGAAGGAAGAACTCAAAGAAACTCAACACACAAAAACAACTATACACAAAAAAATAACAAAAGTATGGGAATAATAGGACAAAGAATATACAAGACACACAAAAATCAATTAGGTCCTTCATTTCCTGTAATTACCTTGAACATAAATGGTATAAACTCTCCATTCAAAGAGAGTGGCAGAAGGGATTAAAAAAAAAAAAGATCCATCTTTATGCTGTCTACAACAGACACATTTTAGGGCCAAAGACACAAACAAACTGAAAGTAAAAGAATGGAAAATAATATCCTATGCAAAAAGTAACCAAAAGAAAGCAGAAGTGGCCATACTGGTATCAGACAAAATAGATTTTAAATAAAAACCTGTTATAAGAGAAGAAGGACATTGCAGAAGAATAAAAGGGTAAATCTATCAAGACAATACAACAATTACAAACATTTATGAACCTAACATTAGAGCCTCAAAATATATAAAACAAATACTGAAAAACTTGAAAGAAGTAATAGATAACTGTACAATAATAGTTGGAAACTTCAATACGTAACTTTCAATACTGGACAGAACATCCAAAAAGAAGGTAAGGACATAGAGGACTTACACAATACCATAAACCAATTAGACCAAATGGACATAAATAGAACACTGCACTCATTATCAAAACAATACACATTTTTTCTCCTGTGTACATGGGTCATTCTCCAGGATTGATCATATGCTAGGCCACAAAATAAATCTCAACATACTTAAAAAATCTTTGAAATTATAAAAATATCTTCTTTGACCACAAAGGAATAATATTAGAAATTAATAACAGAACGAGAATTAAAAAACATACAAATATATGGAAATTAAACAATGCACTACTAAATAACCAATGTTATTATTTGGTGTCATCTAGTTGGTTCCGATTCATAGCGACCCTATGTACAACAGAATGAAACACTGCCCGGTCCTGTGCCATCCTCACAATCTTTGCTATGTTTGAGCCCTTTGTTGCAGCCACTGTTTAATCCATCCATCTTGTTGAGGGTCTTCCTCTTTTTCGCTGACCCTCTACTTTACCAAACATGATGTCCTTCTTCAGAGACTGGTTCCTCCTGATAACACGTCCAAAGTATGTGAAACGAAGTCTTACCATCCTCGCTTCTAAGGAGCACTTTGGCTATACTTCTAAGACAGACTTGTTCCTTCTTCTGGCAGTCCCTGGTAAATTCAGTATTCTTCACCAACACCATAATTAAAATGCATCAATTCTTCGATCTTCCTTATTCATTGTCCAACTTCTGCATGCATATGAGGCGATTGAAAATACCATGGCTTGGGTCAGGTGCAGGTCAGTCCTCAGTGACATCTTTGCTTTTTAACACTTTAAAGAGGTCTTTTGCAGCAGATTTGCCCAATACAAATATGTCATTTGATTTCTTGACTACTGCTTCCGTGGGTGTTGATTGTGGATCCAAGTACAATGAAATCCTTGACAACTTCCATCTTTCCTCCATTTATCATGATGTTGCTTATTGGCAGTTGTGAGGATTTTTGTTTTCTTAATGTTGAGGTGTAATCCATACTGAAGCCTGCAGTCTTTGATCTTCATCAGTAAGTGCTTCAAGTCCTCTTCACTTTCAGCAAGCAAGGTTGTATCATCTTCATATCACAGGCTGTTAATAAGTCTTTCTCCAATCCTGATGCCCTGTTCTTCATATAGTCCAGCTCCTCGAATTGTTTGCTCAGCATACAGATTAAGTATGGTGAAACGATATAGAAATCCCTACTGGAGAATGGGATGTAGTGGATGTACTTTACTAGGTACAGAGATCCAATCTGTCACTAGCTCTCTGGGTCCCACATCTGTCCCAGCCCTGAGGTGACCAGGGGAGGGGATCCCAGCACTCATCCATGGCTGCCTGTCCCTCTGTACTCATCTCAGGCAAGGACCACGCAGATGCCTCCAGAGCCACTGAGGGGGATGCCCCACTGAGGCTGCTGTCCGACTTGAACTGGGCACTCTGCACATGATGTCCAGGCCCGAGGCCATGGCTCCTCTAGCGGTGGCGGTCGCCACTGCCCAGGCTGCGGTGATGGTGGGAGAAAGTAGCAGGAAAGGTGGCCAGGGAAGGAGGCTGAGGTACAGGAGGCAGGGCTGGAAGACTTTAAAGCCCACTGGGGGGACAGAGAAGGCAGGCAGGGAGAAAGGAAGGAAAGGGAGCCAGTGACGCTGTTTATATGTGCAAAAGACTGGAAACAACTCAAATGTTGATTAATAAAGAGCTGGTTTCACGTATTGTGGTACATTTCCTAGCTCTGTGCACTA